AACATAGACGAGACAGGGTTATTTTGGAAAAGGATGCCTTCCAAAACTTTTCTGGCCAAATCTGAGAGTTCCCAGTCAGGATATAAAGCTGCAAAGGATAGACTAACCCTTTTATTGGGTGGCAATACTCAAGGAAATTTGAAATTAAAGCCTATATTGGTTTATCGAGCTCAGAATCCAAGAGCTCTTAAAGGTATAAATCAAGGACAATTATCACTAATATGGAAATCTAATAAAAAAAGCATGGGTAACTAAAGCTTTGTTTGAAGAATGGTTCGTCAAGTATTTTTGTCTAACGGTTGAAGACTTTTGCCGAAGAAGAAATTTAGATTTTAAATCTTTGCTTATTTTAGATAATGCCCCTGGTCATCCTTTTGGTCTCGATTCAATGTGCAAAAATATCCAAGTGACATTTTTGCCCGCAAACACTACCTCTTTATTGCAACCAATGGACCAGGGCGTTATCGCGACCTTTAAAGCATACTACCTGAGAAAGACTTTCAAGCAAGCGATTCAAGCAGCATCTGGAGAGAATTCTATGACACTAGTTCAATTTTGGAAGAAATTCAGTACTAAGGATGCTATTGATAATATCCATCAAGCATGGAATGAAATTTCAGTTAAACATATGCAAGGTGTTTGGAAGACAGTTCTTCCACACTGTGCACAGGACGTCACAGGCTTTTCAAAAGATACAGAAGAGGTCATTAAAAAGATTACTCATATTGGAAAAGAACTTCTTCGCTGAGATTGACAATGAAAATGTGCAAGAATTGCTAGAAGCTCATTCAGAAGAACTTACCAATAAGCATCTTATAAATTTGGACACTCAGAGAGCATATGAAGACATTGATGAATATGAAGAAATCTTACCTACCCGCCAGCATAAGAAGATGACGAAAAAGGAATTAGAAGAACTTTTCATGGTTATTGAAGAATTTAAGGGAAAATGTTTAGATACAGACCCTGATGAAGATAGAAGCCGTCAAATTTGCAGAAAAAGTGATGAGGCAATTTCTCAGTACCGCCAATTATATGAAGAACAGAAGAATACGATGCGACAAGCCACTCTAAACAAGTTTTTCATAAAAAAAAAATCAGATCAATAAATTTTAATTCATTGCATTTTTTTCGTATTTTCTTATATACCTATACTTTGATTAAAAAATACGCAAAATAGAAATTAATTGTGAATGAGGATGAAAATTGAGGTACGAGTTACTTGATTTCCTATAAGTTATTATATTCGATTAGTGCGGCTCTTTTAAAGAACACATTAACCGCACTAATCAAGGGATTCCTGTACTTAGAATTATAAGTGACCATCAGTCATACAATTGAAGTGGATATATTTTTTCTATTACTGTCTGGAACTTTTTTAAAACTATTGAACATACTTAGACCAACAACGTTAAAAAAATGATAATTATACATACTTGATATGCTTTTGGTAACAGATCTTTACTGCCTGCAGGCAGAACAGCCAACAACTGTTGAAAAGGTAAAAATGGTTTTCCTAAATCGTACTCTAAATTCAAGTTTGAAAAGTCTCTGACATCCGAAATGTATGGTGCATAATGGTGTGGATAAAACCTGCAGATTGAAAAGAAAAGAAAAAGATAAATATATTTATGTTTTTAGCTTAAGATTAAATATATTAAAAATGTTTCAAGAAAACAAATACGATTTTTTGTTCACCAAATAGCAAATGAAATGGATAAATTTACTGTGAGAGAGTAATGAATCCAGTTTAAAACATTATAAAGTTAGGCAAAAAGCATTAGTAGGTTGATTTAAATAATTTCATTTTGTCCTGAAGTACACAAGTCTTTCAAGTAAACATGAAAAATTTTTGATTTTTAACCATTTCTTAACATGCATACATAATACATACTATGTTTATGAAGATGGACTTCAAAAAGACTTCATCATATACAAATAAAAAATAAATAAATGTGCTTAAAAGACATAATTTAACTCTTCTAGCCCAGGCTCGGTCCCTAGGATTGACCTCGTAACCATTTTGTGCTTGTTATAGTTTTCATGCTATAACTTTTGAATTAATTAATGAAATTTGGCAGATTATCAGTAAATATTACAATGCTTTCATACTCAAAATATCTAATTTTTGTTATTAAGTCTTAAGGCTTGTAAAGCAATGTTTCTTTTTTTCATATCTTCCCTATCTATGATGCAAAGCAATTTTCATTTTAAGATTTAAAATACTTTTATGCATCAGAAAATTTTCAAATTTCACATGCAAAATCTTTATAATGTCCAAATAGTTACAAACGTTTCTCAAGAAAAAATTTTTATATTTTATCTGTTATTTTCAGTACTCAATCTCTGTACGATTCGGTAGATTTGAAAAATCTCACAACCACCATAAAAAATTAGGAAATAAACATAAATTATTCCTCTCTCATTCTAGAATGAACACAAATTATAATGCGAAAACATAAATAAACGAAATAGCATAAATTTCATAATATTATAGATTTATATATATTTGTTATTTTTATTATATTGACCTTAACAATACAGAAGTTACAACGATGAGACTCACGTGCACTCATGTTACCATATCAAATAACATAAAGGTGACCTTTGGTCTGTACAAAGTAATTTGTCTTGGCTGTGTTTTAATCGACTAGTATTTTGTAAAATAAAATCACATTTCAATTATTATACATTACATATGTGCAAAGATTATTGCTATTTTAAAAAAAGTTTTTAAAATTATTTTTCCTAAAACAGAACAGTAAATAAAGTAAAGCAAACAATTATCTCTTCTAGTTATGATCTTTGTACTCAATTGCTGCTTGACATAGGTTTCTAAGCCTTTAAAAATTTTGCCTGTGGAGGATACTAAACAAAATATTTTTTATTTTTTTAGGTTTTACATATACAGTTGAATAACTAAAAAATCATAAATTACTACATCAATACCATAGAATTCCACTATAATTTATCAAGCTTAATAACTAAGCTTTATTTGGGTCTGAAAAAAATATGAAATTTTGAGCAGACTAAAGATTCACCTTACCAGATTGAAGATTTGTATCGAAAGAACAAGGTGATGTTGTAATACATTATAATCGCTGAGAAAGCCACCAGGGGGACATTCTGAGTTTTCAATTGGTTATTCACATGTCACAGAAAGAAGTAAGTGTATATAAGGGAGCATTTCCAAAAATGGAATCACTTTTTTTGTCTCATTACATGAGCAATATCTCAGCAAATAGAAACATAGGAGGTTCTTATTTTATATTCTACCTTGTCAATGTTGGTAGTTTGAGTTCCTAACTTCTACAAAACTTTACACTTTGTATTTTGACATCACAATCATCTAATTTGAACCAGTGCTTCACTCAACATACCACATGACACACAAAAATCAATGTTTAAGTGTTTTTTTTAAATTTACTTTTCAATTAAGAAATTAAATAATGTATAATACTAATATTTGAAATATAATCTACAGTTTGATACCAAACTTATTGAAATAATTTCATAAAATAGTAGTTAAATAAAATTTTGAATGTGAGTCAACAAATGCAATGACATGGCCTTTAACCTATGACCCGTGTAGAAAGGGTTAAAGAAACTGTTGGAAATCCTTAATATAAAACTGTATTACACAGAGTCCTCAAAGTAAATATGTCAGTGAATTCATCCTCCACATAAAAAACATGTACTAGTTTACTTTCATAAAGATATCTGAACTCACCAGCTCCATGATGCCACTCCATTATAATAATAATGCAAGTTCCACTGGATAGCTCTAACATAACCATATGCTTGATCCTTGAGTACGTCCCTAACAAAAAGTTAAATTCCAAATTTCAACAAAGAATTTTATGGAATTTTGTCAAACAATTATTCTAGTAATTCTTGAGAATAATTCAAATTAAATCCTTTTATCAGAAAATATCTTGAAACAAATGTATATGATTATTGTATAAACTTAAGCTAACTCAACCAGAAAAGGATAAATTACAAATAGGGTCAATTAACATTTAAATTTGATTTTTGAATCCTTCATCATCTCACTAACACCAATTTAATATAATGTTGCAGGAAAAAGATGAGAAAAACTGACCATATATTTCTAAAAAGTTTACACATAAACAGTTTTAAAACTTTTATTTAAAATAACCTATCAGTCATAAATATATTAATAACATTAAAATTTTTTTAAGATTAATATACTACTCAGTACTTGCATAGCATGTATTGATTTTTATAAATTTTTGTTAAATAAAGAAAATTTTATCTCAATATGTTTTATTTCTTAAATTCACAGTTTTATGAGTGAGACACAGACTATATGTGCATGAACTACAAATTTATCATTTAAAAATTAGCAAGACAATTGCTACTTACAGAGTAACAGCTTCATAGTCGAGCTTGTTCATGTAATAATCTCTCTTGTGCTGTTTAAATTCCAGCTCAAACATCTCTTCACTTGTTTCATCATCTTCATCATCATCATATTCCTCCCCAAAATCAAGGTCAAGTAGTTTATGAGAGGTCACTATTAAACCAAGAGAAGAAAGCAAAATGTCAAATAATAAAAAAAAAAATTGGGATTTAAATTATTTTTGACATTTTTGGTATACCACACTGAACATTTTTTGTTAATCTCCTCTAGCTGAAGAATCATCATAAAACATTCTACTTTTAAACAAAGCCAAACAAGTCCATCCATACAAAAACAAAGTCATTTTTGTTGAATTCAACTCCGTTACCCTTACAACAATTTTTTCTAGATATTAAGAATGACTATCCTTCATGTAATTTTTTGTCAGTCTTCACAGCATAATGTATAAGCAAGCATGTCATCTTGAGAAATTCTCACATAAGAGTAGACTTTTACTCTCTAACAATAACCAATTGGACAAATGTTCAAAAAATAAGTTTCAGTGCATATGATCTATACAGACACTACAGTATACACACTTATAAATATTCACATCTTTCATCCTTTCTTAAATGAAGTAGTTGCACCTAATGCATAATAAGGTAATTTACATAAATACTCAAGTACACCAGCAGTAAAGCTATTCTACCCTACCACGAAGTACATTTTTATGCACAATCATTCACTATCAACACCTATTATGAACACACAGTCAATGAACACCATCATAAAAGTCAAATTGTGCAGTCATTCTTCATCACATAGAATAAAATCAATATATATATTATGTCATCAAGAAATTAACGTCACGTTTTGGAACACTTTCATTAACCCCTCCCCAAAAACTACACATCATGTATAATAGTTGAACAAACTGCCTAAACGTCACATTAGTGTAGCCTATATAATGTGTAAAGTTTAGTATACTCTAATCCCTTATACTGATGGCACACGATAAGACACACATTCGACATGTAATGGTGTTTGAATACAAAAAGGGAAACAATGCCTCTGTAGCCACAAAGAATATCAAAGAAGTTTATGGAACTGTTTTGAACATTTGCAAGTGTCAACGATGGTTCAGCAAATTTCGTTCAGATGACTTTAGCCTTAAAAACTGTGATGGCAGGGGTCGACATGTTGGAATTGATATTGATGCTCTGAAGAGGCCTGTTGAGTCTAACCCAAGGCAACACACATGTGAAATGGCCCTGATATTGCATGTCACTCATGAAACAATACATAAACATCTAAGGAATAAGGGAAAACTCCATAAAGAAGGTGTTTGGGTGCCTCACAAACTCCCTGATGATCATCCTTTCCAATGTGTGAACATTGCTTCGTCTCTTCTGGTGCGTAATGCGCATGAACCATTATTGGACAGAATGGTCACCGCTGATGAAAAATGGATTCT